CGAGCAGGGAGCCCGATGCGGGGCTCGATCCCAGGACCCTGGGATCATGACCTGAGCCGAAGGCAGACGCTTAACGACTGAGCCACCCAGGACCCCCTGGCTGCCTCTTTTTAAGGAATTCCCCCCGCCCCCAAATTTCTTGTGTTAAAATTCTAAGGCTTCCCCCCACCCTCGGGCTGCCTGCTTTTCTTTCTGTCTTTTAAAGTACAAAAACATGAAAAACTTTTTCTAGAGTGGATACATTTTTATATCTAGTATTAAACATTTCAATTTAAAAAAAAATTTAAGTAATTTCCACACCCAACGTGGGGCTCAAACTCACAACTCCGAGATCAAGAGTCGCATGCTCTACCGAATGAGCCACCTAGGTGCCCCCAAACATTTCAATTTGGCTATCCTTTTTGTCCCAAGAATTATTTAGGAGAGTGTTCTGTAGTTTCCAAGTAGGTTTCTTTTGGGAATGCTAGTCTTATGTTTTATTTTGTAGTCTTATTACATTATTACATGGTAGTCATGTACGACTTCTACAGTTTCTACTTTTTTTTGCACTTGGTTGCATTTTTTTTAATGGTCTGCGATATAATAAATTTTGTAAATATTCCACGGTTAATTTAGTATTACTTAGGGATAAACAGTGGTTTGTCTCATTTCTGTGTTATATTTGTTTTAAAAGAAAAAGCAGGGGGAGCCTGGGTGGCTCAGATGATTAAGCATCTGCCTTCGGCTCAGGTCATGATTCCAGGGTCCTGGGATAGAGCCCCACATTGGGCTCCCTGCTCAGCGGGGAGCCTGCTTCTCCCTCTCCCTGATCCCCGCCTCCACTCTTACTCTCACTATCTCTCTCTCTCAAATAGATAAATAAAAATCTTAAAAAAAGGAAAGAAAGAAAGAAAGAAGAAAGAAAGAAGAAAGAAAGAAAGAAGAAAGAAAGAAAGAAAGAAAAAGAAAGAAAGAAAAAGCAGGCATGGTTAACAATCAGTTCAGATCTTCCCGAACTTACAATTGGGTTACATCATAACTTGGAAATCTCATAAATCAAAAATGCGTTTAATACTCCTAACCTATGAGACATTATAGCTCAGCCTAGCCTACCGTAAATGTGCACAAAACACATGTTCACCTACAGTGGGGCAAGATCACCTGACACCCAGCCTGTTTTATAATAAAGTGTGGACTATGTCATGTGATGTATTGAATACTATACTGAAGGTGATAAACAGAGTGGTCGTGCGGGTACAGAACGGTTGTGAGTTTATCGGTTGTTTGCCCCTGTGATCGCGTGGCTGGCTGGGGCTGGAGCTCACTGCCACTGCCCAGCCTCACGGGGGAGGATCACACCGCATATCCCTAGTCCGGGGAAAGATCAAAATTCAAAATTTGAAGTATGCTTTCTACTGAACGTGTATCGCTTTTGCACTGTTGTAAAGCTGGAAGATTGTAAGTAGAACCATTGTAAGTCAGGGGCTGTCTGTACTTGGAAATCTCCCTGTCTCAGTTGCCTAGAGCAACCTGAGGGCTGAGTCTTTATTACCTGGGTAGTCGTGGGGCCAAGATGAAGATGGAATTCCACGCTGGAAGACTCTCCTGACAAGGGCCTCTCCTAAAATCCTCCACTGAGAGGACAGCATGGCGGCCCACGTAGCCTCGGGTTGACGTCCTTGGTTGACCTTGGGCCATATATCAGTCATCCTCTGGTAGGTTTGTCTGTGTTGGCCTCATACATTTTTGCTGCCTGTCGAAGTAATTGGGATCTGGTCATCTGCTGGGACCTGGCTGTTCATCTCGCTGACATTTTAAACACATTCAGTTTTTCCCTAAAAGAAACACAGATGGGGTAATAGACAGATGAGCTCTTCTCCCTTCCACTTGCTTTTTGAGTTGTGGCAAGTAGGACTGCAAGTTCCTTTATCCGGTCGGTCAGTAAAAGTATCTTGAATGTTTATACTGTGGCATGATGATATATGGGCAAATGACATGATCCCTGTCCTGGGGGAGAAGCTCATGCACGATCTGCGGCTTGGAAGCCAGAGCTGGAACAGTATATAATGACAAATTAACACGGCTGACGTGGGAATATGCGAGTGTTAGTGGAGCACAGAGGAATTTAATTTTTCACAAGAATGGAGGAATGGGGACGATACCAGGGAGAATGTGATGTTTAAGGTGAATCTTAAAGTAGGAATGGGTGCTAGCTGGGCGGAGAAGGAGGGATAGGCATTCTACTTGAAGGGCACATTGTGACTGTGGCATGAGGTAGGACAGGGGACAGCGTGCATGGGAAGGAGTGGTCAGCCTCCTCCCTAGAGAATATTGTGTGTGGTTTGGGTTTGGGAACAGTGAGGCTTGGAGGGGTTAGCTTAGAGTCGGGACTGTTCAGAGCTTTGATTGTCTGGTAGAGGTACTTGTACTTTACTCTGTGGGCAGTGAGTAGCCATTGCAGGTTTTTAAGGTTGGGATCAGCTCTGCCTTTTATAATTCTGCTATTCAAATTTTGCTTCTCCATTGTAAATGTCTACTACCCAAAATGTGACTTGTCTAGAGGAGGTGATTGAATTTTTCTTTTCCTTCATCTACAATTTATGATTCCGGTTTAGATATCTGTGCCACTTGCCATGAACACGCTACCTGCAAGCAAACAGAAGGGATGAAGATGTGTGTTTGCAAATATGGATTTGTGGGCAATGGGAGGACTTACTGTATTGGTAAGTTCTGAATCCTGGGTGAAGTTGAAAAGTTGAATCAAGTAACGAGATTCCCTAGTGTTAAAGAGCTAATGTCCTTCTGGGGAAAACGTTGTTTTGTTCACATGTTTTTATTACAAGAAGTTTTGTCCATTATAATACACCTTTGTTTTAGTGTTTGGATGTAGCCTTTCTGCAGCCTTTCCAAGGAAGTATCTTTCGTGTTTGAGAGACATTGAACTTGAATCTCTGGAAATTCTCTGACCCAACACAAATTTGAAATCTGTTTCAAGTCTTGAGTTTAACTTAACAACTTGAGTGAATATTGCCTTCCTTAATTTCTCTTGGTTGTTCTGATGTGAAACGATTTGTATTAGTACCCTGAGGAAAGACAAAACACAGTTGCCTATTGGACTTTCTGGCTAACTAGTGAAGTAGTCCTGCTTTGGGTCTTATGTCTACCAGAATCCATTCTCAAAATTTTTTGTAGTTGTAGCCCTTTGGGGTCTTGGGTGCCTTAAAGGAATACAAAGACCTTTAGGAAGTATCTGAGGTTATTTTTTGGCTTCACGGTCTCCTCCGTGCCGTGAGAGTCGGGCAGTATCCAGGTTCAAGCCCAATTCGGAGAGAGGGAAAACCTCACGGCACGTTTATAGTAGTGAACGTTAGGAGGATCACGGCGTCCTCCCGGCAGCCTTGCTATGTGCAGTGCAAATACTGACGGTGTATACAGCCTTGTGATATCTTTGGATTTTTTTCTTCCCAAAGCAAAATAAAAATTCCCAGTTCCAAAAGTCCTATTCTCCTTCGCAGATACGAGCTTTCACAGGCACACACCATTGCCCGTTCCTGCGGGCTGGATTTGTGCCACTGCCGACCCTCTCTCTTTGGGATTCTGCCCAGGAGAATTGTGGCTACCCTACAGTCTAGGTTCCTGAGGCATCTCTCGAACCCCTCTCCTCCCACGGCTTGCTAGCAGGGGCTTGGAAATGAGGTTGGAATTGAGCACGAACAAGCCTTTTCTGCTCCCTCCCCGAAGGCAGTCCCCCTCCTGCGGAAGCTCACCACACTCTTGATTGCTCTTGGACTTCTGAAGAGGAACTTCTCTTAATGGGGCGAAGGGGCTTATTGATTTATGTGGTGCTTGCTCGCGGACACTAGACACTGCCTACGCCAGTACGTGGCCTTCTTTTTTTTTTTTTTTTTTTT